CTGGCCGGTCGCTGCCTGCAAACACCAGAGCTGTGCTGGGAGAACTGGGCTGGCAGCTGGGGCAGGGCTGGGGAAGGGGGATGATGGTGTGGGGAGCTGAGGAACGCGGCGTCGGCCAGTGTGGTATTTCCCTGAATGGCCTCCAAGGCAAAAAAAAAAAAAAAAAGGAGTGAAAAAGGGCTGAACAAAAAGGAATTATCTCTATATGCACATAGATCACATCCCAAACTGGCTCCAAGTGCTGGATTTCAAGGTCAGGGGTTTCCAAGCTGTTTGATGCATCTAGAAAATATATTTAATTTCGGGTTGAAAAGACCAGGATGACACTAAGGGGAAACAGCTCTGGGATCTGGGGGCTTTAATACTTCTCCTTCTCCCTGCCCAACTCCAGCCACCTCGCGGGGACCTGTGTCCCCGTAGCACACATATACCCCCGCTGCAGGTATCCCCCATTTAGGGGATGACGGTTGTGCATCGCTGCAGGAACCATCCCATCAGCTCCCGGCTGCAAACTCATCTCCCAGCCTTGTTATCACGCAGGAAAATTCAGCGGCAGCTTGCCAGCACCAGCACGACACCCTCGCTCTGACATTAAAAGTTACCTACACAGCAGAGAATTTTTGATTGGAGTTTTTTTTTTCCTGCTTGTTGGTGCATTGCAATTTTTTTTTAAGCATAAAAAAAAATCCCCAGAACAGATGCAAGGTGCCTAATTGGGTGCTAATTGTTCCCATCACCGCATGCCAATGAGAAGTCCAAGCTCCAGCGCTGGTAATAACTCACCACCCATCAAAGCAAAACAGTAGCAGGCTCTTGAATATTTCATGTAGAAAAATGTCCGGAGATACGGAGATTACTCCAGACGTGTTTTTCACAGGCAATTTACAGGGACCGAGGAAAAATGGCTTTAATAGACACGAGCGTCGGAAACGTGCCTCTGCCCCCCTGCCGAGCGGTGGATGTTCAAGAAGCTGCGACAACATGCAAAAAAAAACTCAGCAAGACACGAAAAACCCGCGGGGCCGCTGGGCATCCTCCTTCCCACGCTGGCTCTGTCCTGCTGGAGATGAATGCTTCCAGCGCCAGGAGATGCTGAGATAAAAAAAAAACACGCCAAGAACGGTGGCCAGGTAATTCAAAGAGCCCTGGGGATGAGGATGAGCTAAAGAAACAAGGGAAAATGGAGCAAAATTCCACTTTTCTGGATGATGTTCTACCAAAGGTAGGAAATAGTTGACAAGGGGGAAAATAAAGATCAATGGAAATATTTTTTTATCCAGGAAAAGTTATCTGCCACCTCTGGAGACTGGAGTGATCTGCTGTGGTGTGAGCCAGGAGGGTTTTATTCCGGCTTTCAGGGAAACCCATCTCTCTGCTGCAGCACAGCATCTCTCTGGAGGATGCGCCCTGGTCCCCAGCCCAAAGCTGCCCCTGGTCCAGCGCGAAAGAGGCAAAAAGAACGAACCGGAGAGGAGCAAAGGAGAAATCCCCAGATCAGAGTCACCAGAACTAAGCCAGCGAGGGGAAAAAACAAACGAGGACAAACAGACAACGGACCAACCGCTAAGTTAGGAGCCGCTAATTAAGACGTTGAGTTATCCACACGTATTTTTAGGACGCTGCATTTTGATTCATCCCAGATAAGAGCAGTTGAAAGACTTTCTTTTTTTTTCTTTTTCTCTTTTTTATCCTCTTGCCTATGCTCCAACCCTATCATTACCCGGGACGCGAAGGGAAGAATTAAACGCACGCATCATTTGATTTTAATTGAAGGACTGTTCTATTTCATTGAACTGCTAACTAAGCCGAACAGGAGATTGTGTTTACATAAGCAAACCCTGAGTCAGTATAGACTTGCTGTCACATTAAGTCAATACTTATGAAGGCTCTCTATTTAATTATTCAGTGCGAATTGACTTATTACTGTGTTAAGAGCCCGGTTAGCCCTGAGCCAGGCGGCCGCTCAGCCCAGCCATCCCTTCCAGCACATGCGTGCCCGTGGGGTCCTGGGGGAGAGGTGCCACCCCCCCATCCCCATCCCTCTGTCCCCCCCATACCAGTAAGCCAAACCCACCAGCACTTGCAGATTTGCTCATTTAAGGTCAGATTTGGAGCTTCCCCCGGCAGGTGATGCCAGCCCCTGGGATGCAGCCACCCACCCCGGGGACCCATCAGCCGTGCCCTGTCCCCCCCCGGACCCCAGCATCACTCCTCTCTACCAGCTCCCAGAGCCGCTGGGAAATCCAGGAGCGTTTTTCCCTCCTCCTCCTCCGTGGGCAGCCCAGGCGTACTCCCGAGCCGCTCTCATTACACGGCGTAATGAGAAAGTTGAGCTGCCGCTCCGCCGTTTATCAAGGAAACATCCACTCTAGATGGCATTTTGTCTGCGCTAAACAAAAGGCGTGAAGATGAGAACGTGGGTTAAAAAAAAAAATAAAATTAAAAAGGATTTTGTTCCCATGATTGCGGTTTAATCAATACCAAACCAGCCTAGATCCATCCTTTTCCTTGCATGCACCCCGAGCCAAGCCTCCCTCATGGGTCCTTGGGTGATGAAGCATCCTCCTCCTCCTCCTCCTGAATTAGCATCCCCCCCCCAGCCAAACGCACTCAGACACAGGGGGTCCTGCGAGGGGCTGGGCAGGATCCAACCCCCCTCCCAGCCACAAACATACTAAAAACAGGGAGAAAAACCTCAGGCAAAGGAAACATCACCCTGCTTTTGGATGCTGAGGAGCTACAGCCAGTGGAAGCTGGGAAATTCTTCAGCACCAGCATCAGTGAAGCATATAAGACCAGATTATTTGTGTTCCTGACTTGCTGATGCAAGATGAAAAATACAGCAAACTGCAGCTGCTGAAATCAGCTCTTTTCTCCCCTTTCCTTCCCTTTCCCCTTCGCTGAGGTTAGTGTTTTGCAAAAAGGTTTTTATATTCTAGGAGCTAAAACCTGTCCGTTGCAATCAGACACAAAGCTCGGGGAGTTTGTCAGGCTCCTCCGTTGTGCTGGAGAAAAATCTTCCCGGCACGAAAAGCTTCACAAATTGCAGCGATCGGAGCCTGATTGCTCCTGCTCTCGGGGCTGGGGCATCTCACGGGGGATTTTGAGCATCCTCACAGGTCAAGGCCATTTGAACGGCTTTGTCTAAAGCCAAGCCCAGGATTTCAGCCTAGAATAACCCAGAAAACATCATTTTCCCTGGGTGGTGATGGCAGAGCTGGTGGCTTTTATCTCCCCAGCTTTGTGACCACTGATGGGACAGCGGCAGGTGTCCCACGACCATTTAACCACCAGCCCCATGCAGCTGGAAAGCAGAAAGCCATAAAAACCCCCAGAATGACCATTTTCCATGCTGGACCATTAACTCGCCCTGTCCCCCAACTCCTTGGCTTCTTTCGGGAAGGTATCTCAGGGGTGGGTCGTGTCCTACAAGGGGCAGCCCCCTGCACCCAGCTCAGCACCGACCGCGGCGAGACGGCAGCAAAAATCCCCCCACAAAGTCCTGTCCCGCTAGAGAGGGCTTCGCCGTTCGTTAGGCGTCCAGCCAGGAGGTTTAATTAAGCTCGCAGCCCGCACGGGAGCATTATCTCATCTCCTGCCATCGCCGGCTTTCGGAGCAGCTTGCCGATCTGCTGCTGAGTTCAACGCCCTTGCCGGTCCCATCGGCAGATAAAAAGGATGAGCATCGGTCCGTGATACGGGTCTGATAAGCTCAGGCATCGACGGGAAATCCCCCGGCAGACCCCAGCCTCGCTTTGCCCGCGGGATGCCGAGACACGGAGGGGTTTCGTGCCGGGATGCTCCCGGGTGGAGATGCCATGGGAAGGAGGACCAAGCCTGCACGCTCTGTTTATACCCATTCCCGGCACCTGGTGATGATCTTGGCAGCGGCTGCCTGCCAAGGCTTTGTTATTTATAAACGCCGAGGGCCTTGGAGAGGAAAGAGAGAGGAGAGGCCCCCCCAGCACCACGCAGCCCAGTGCCGCCCAGCAAAGGTGATGCCAAACAACCCAACCTGGTCTGGGCTTCTGCAGAAGAGCAGAGCGAGCTGCTCCCCCGGAGCTGGACCAGCAG